CTGTTAGGAGTAACAGGTACAAACATTCATTTATTCCTACTTCTATCTCTTTGCTAAATTCGGGCAGGTGGGGAGTAGGTGGAAGCAGGTAGTTGTTTGGTCTTGTGTTGTCCTGTGTTTTTTTTTATGTAATTTTTAATGTAATTTTTAATGTATTATAAATTGTCTTTTTTGTATGCTGGTCTTGCTGTAAAACCAATTGCCCTTAGGGGACATAAATAAATGAAACAAGGAAAGAAAGAAAGAAATCTTACCTCTCATGTAGGTCCTTCAGGGTGTCTTGGAGAGGGGAGGTTTCTAAGTCACAACTTCGTGCTACTGGGGTTCCTCAGGGCTCAGTGCTTGGGCCACTTCTCTTCTCCGTCTACATGTCATCATTAGGATCTGTCATCCAGAAACATGGCTTTTCCTATCACTGCTATGCTGATGACACTCAACTCTACTTCTCATTCCAACCAGATGAACCAACAGTAACTGTTCGCATATGTCTGACAGACATCTCTGAATGGATGAAGGATCACCAACTTCAACTCAGCTTTGCAAAGACAGAACTGCTTGTGGTCTCAGCCAACCCATCACTTCATCGCAACTTCTCTATACAGCTAGGTTCGTCAACCATAACTCCTTCTAGGACAACCAGGAACCTTGGAGTTGTGATTGATGATCAGCTAAGCTTCACAGATCATATTACTACAACGGCCCGGTCCTGCAGATTTGCTTTATACAACATTAGGAACAATAGACCCTTCCTATCAAAGTAGGCCACACAACTCCTTGTCCAAGCTCTTGTTCTCTCCAGACTGTACTGTTGTAATGCTCTCTTAGCAGGCCTTCTGGCATGTACTATCCAGCCTCTGCAACTGATCCAGAATGCTGCGGCAAGAGTGGTCTTCAATGAGCCGAAGAGAGCGCACGTCACACCTCTCTTCATCAGTTTGCACTGGCTGCCGATAGCCACTCGCATCAAACTCAAGGCACTGATGTTTGCCTACAAGACAACCACTGGCTCTGCACCAAAGTACCTAAACTCGCTAGTTCAGACTTATGCACCCTCCAGAAGCTTGCGTTCTGCAAATAAACGACACCTCATGGTACCATCCCAAAGAGGCACGAAATCACTCTCACGGACCTTTACCTGGACTGTTCCAAGCTGGTGGAACGACCTGCCTATCTCAATTCGAGCAGCTGAGATCAAAAAATGTCTAAAGACATCTTTTTTCATCTGCACTTGACTAATTAATGCTAACATTTTCTTATTCTATTTGTCTCTTTTTCTGAAGAAAAAAAAAACTGATATGTGTACTGTGCTAGACTAACTGAGACTTGTTACAGCACTTGTATACTGTTGCCCTCCTGTTGGTCTGAATTGCTTATATCTGCTCTTCTCATTTGTAAGTCGCTTTGGATAAATTATTAAATGTAAATGTAAATAGTTATTGTGTTTGGGCCCCATACCTGAAATTTGCTTAGGGCCCCAAATCACTAAGTCCGCCCCTGCCGGCAGCCACAGACGTGCAGTTTATGAATTGCCAAATTTCACCTAAAAATCTTCTATACTCTTCTACTGAAGACATAAAGTCACCTACATCTTGGATGGCCTGAGGGTGAGTCAATTAACAGCCAATTAAAATTTTTAGGTGAACTATACCTTTAAGCCTGTATGTTTAGTGTGTATGACAATTGTTGTAAATGCAGATTGTTATTAAATAAAGGCTATTATGTGTTGTAATGTCTGTGTTTTTAGTGATTGATAGACACCAGTTAATTATTTTATTAAACTCAGTATAAATTATAATAACTAGTTCCACAGCAATTACTTATGGTGTCCAAATAATCAATCTTAGTTTAGGTAACATATGAAACACGTGGAGTAAATGGTTAAATTTTAATTGACAATATTTGTTGTAGTTTTCTAAATGTTCTTACCAACATTCAGATTTGAAGATTTCCTGTGGCTAAACAATCTTAAGATCTTTAGTCCAGCAGGTTTTACATGATCCATCAGCTTGGCTTTCAGTTTCTAAATATAATCCTCTACATTTCATTGCTCAATATGTCTGATCAGCTGTACAGCAGTGAAAGTTTTAATTCAGTAAAATTTTACCAAATAATTATTTAGTCAACCCTTTAACTTAATAATCATCCCTGGTCTAGACACAAAAGTTATTGTGCAACTTAAAGAAGAGAATAGTAGTGGTTAGGACTGGTAACACCAAGTTTCAGAGTGTATTCCTAAATTAGGCAGCCAATGACGTGGAGTTTCAATGAGTTCCTCAATCACTACTGTACCCTTGAAGGAATTCATTCAAAATATAATTTAGTACTCATCCTCATGTCATTGCAAAGCCATATGAGAAGTTTAGCGGAATATTTGTTTGTTTTCAAATATGGCACATTGAGATATCTTACGTCAATCCTGGTATAACATGTCTTGATGTGCAATATTTGAAATACAAAATAAAACATAAATAATAAAACATAAATGGTTCTCATGTATCCTAACAAATCATATGTACATGAATATGCATGTGTACTGAATATGTGCTTAATAAATTGCACTAATAAAGTTTTGGAGCTCTTCAGTGGAGAGGAAGATCATTAATAAAGACTTCAATCATCATCTAAAAGCCCTTATGCACCATCTTTATTATGTCATGCAAGTTATGTTATAGTGCAAGATCTCCATCTGCTGGTAAAGAAGGGTGTGCACAATAATGTTTTATAATAACATATTACCATATTAAGCCTGAACGACTTGATTAGTTGGATCAGGTGTGTTTAATTAGAGTTGAATCTAAACTCTGCAGGGCTCTGACCCTCCAGGAATAGAGTTTGACACCCCTGCCATATTACTTGTACTATTTGCATTTTGTGTATACCGTACCATTTACCGGCATACTGTATCTCACAAAACACAATGCACCTTCACTTGAACTTCCTTTGGTAATGTGAAGAATGGACCAGAAGCTTAGTTAAGTTCATTGCATTGTGGGCTCATGTGTCTCATTCTTGGCAGTACATTTCACATCAACAAATTCTAGTAAAAGTTGACAAGTAGAAGGCTACATTATATATTTATATACAACTACTCTATTTCAAACTATTCATTATCATCAGTGGACAAAGTCACACAGTAGGGTCATGACAACTATAATTTATCTAAGAATTGTCTCAACAGCCAGCAGGCATGAGAAAAAAGAAAATATTTTCTTAAATTAAATTTAGATGTTAGAAATAAATGGAATATAATATAAAATAATGTTGACAGTTTTTAATCATTATTTTTAGTTTAAGATCCACTCTTTTCAAAAAACTGCACTGTAAAAACTTAAGGACCATCAAGGTAATTTCAAGCAAACTGAAACACACTCTCTAAGAAAATTCTGTAAAAAAAATAGTACCGCATTAATATGAAGCAATTTTCTGTATTGGCTTTCACCAGTGTTTACTGGTATTTTGAATACGCATTGCATTGTGTTTTGTTTTAGGATTGAAGGAAATGCCCGTAACAGAAAAGGTACTGATATATCTTCCAGGACATTATTCGTTTTCTACATATTTTTTTCTTACATTGTAGGGTGCACAAAATAGATTACGATATGCTTTTATAAGCCCATTTCTGAAGAAAATTGTCATAGAAAAATATAATTATCATCAATGGATATTAAATGTAGGTGAAGAGGGAAGATGCCCCTTAAAGGGATAGTTCACCCAAAAATTTAAATGATGTCATTAATTACTCACCCTCATGTCGTTTCAAACCCGTAAGACCTTTGTTCGTCTTCAGCTGACACAGAACAGAATACTTTGTTTACGTCCAGCGGATATTCTCCAAAATGGCGCTACCAGGTGATGCGGAGGAGACAAATTGTTGAATAAAGTCGTTTTTTTTTTTTCTTTTGCGCACAAAAAGTATTCTCATAGCTTCGTATAATTGCGGATGAACCACTGATGTCAAATGGATTATTTTACAGATCTCCTTGCTACGTCTCTGGACTTGGGAACATTTCAGTTGCGTTGCTGTCTATGCAGGGTCAGACAGCTCTCAGATTCCATCAAAAATATCTTAATTTGTGTTCCGAACATGAACAAAGGTCTTATGGGTTTGAAACGACATGAAGGTGAGTAATTAATGACAGAATTTTCATTTTTGGGTGAACTATCCCTTTAAGAATGATGTGGATTTACACAACTGTAATTTATTACATTAGCAATAAATGGTTAGCCAGCTTTAGAGCATTAAGAATGGGTGTCTCAACTGTACCATGGTACTGTTTCAACTATACAATATGGGTACAGTTAAGACAAAAATGCACCTTATGGTTATGCGCTAATTGTGAAAAATATAGGCTAAACTACTTTTATTATTAAACTATTATCAATGTATGATATTTAAGTACACAAGCAAAATAAATATAATGTGAAAGATCACTTCATTTCAGCATCTAGTTTTTGTGTAGTGATGAAAAAAGCAGAAAGTTTCAGTCTACCCTACTGTTTCACATAGGCTACCGTTTGGAGGCAACACACTGTGCACACAGCAATAGGGGGCAGCACCGTAACAAATAATGAGGGCAATGATGCGTGCTAAAGCACTTGCAAACTGAGCTTTGTCTCTCACTTATTCGGAAGATTGCATCCGAGACGGCCAGATTGGGAGGGAAGGCCTTACACTTTAATTTGCAGAGCGAGACACAGAAATGGGCCGTGATGGGGTCTTAAAGGCGATATGAACCTGGATAGTGCAGAGATCAGATTTGTTGGAGAGTTCAAGACGGTTTGCAATAGGGGTGATGGGGGCAGGGGATATCTGGATCCCGTATAAAAACCCGTGAGATTAATCCTGCTGGTCCAGACGGAACCGATGAAGGTGATCGCATCCGCCGCATCCCAGAATAACTCGACTGTGATTTTGAGCGCATCCAACAGCAAAGCAGCAGTGAAGGGAATGAGGAGGAATTTGATGCATGCATGAAAATCTGACACTGGTGCACCACTGTTGGCCTCTTTTACGCCGCGTAATGGAAATAGCAGGATAACGGTATTCCAGCGGTTTTTTGCTCCTAGTGGCCGCGGCACCGGAAAAAAAAAACGGGTCAGCCGTGAGCACGTGTTTTTGAACTAAGTTAGGCATCTGTCTGATCAGATCGGCGGAATGGTGTTTTTGAGATGTCACCGGAGCAAGTATATATGGGCCACTCTGGGTGTGTTGGCGTTTTTGTGGCTCTACATCTTCCCCGTGTACAGGATACCCAGCGATAAGGAAATGGTGGATGAGGTTCTGCGGCAGGGACAAATCTGGACCAGAAACCAAACCGGAGTAGATCTTTACAGGTATTTCAGTGCTTTTAGATTCGTCACATTAAAGTATTCATTCATTGTGAGCGTATCTGTGATGTGCAATGCCGCATATCTTAGATGAATTGGTACTGTGATGCGATTTGGAATGACATTTTAGTCTCAGTAGTCTCTCTCTCTGACTGTAATTAAGTAAATGGAGCGGCTGCACTCAGTGTCTCGTCCATGTAATCTGTCTCTCATACTGTCATACGAGTATTGCTGAGTGCAGACGTCTCCCCCGAAAAACCGATTAAGAGAACGCACATGCGCAGAGAGGTAGACGCGTTTGAATCTGTCTCCCCGCTCTGAACTCCCGGAAAGGCTCGTATTTGTGACTTCACAAAGAGGCTGATTCTGTTATTAGATTTGTTACATTTTATTATGATGATGATTTCGGTTTGAAATTTGTTGCGGCAACTGTTGCAAAAATGATTAACGTTCTATAATCAGCATATCATACTTTATTACATTTGAAATAAATCTGTTGATCAAATTCGAAAAGAACATAAAGGTCTTTAAAAGTCTTTATTCACCTTTCAATAAATTAAGACCTTAAAAAGGTATTCAGTCGGAGCAGAAAGTCTTAAATTCATAGGCATGGCATTAGAAGTTGCATGCATGGAGAAAAAAACATAAATAAACATAAATAAAAAGTAATAATAATATTCTTTTACTCAGTGTTTTTGTCTTGTTTTCAAGTTACAAATGTAGAAACTTTTTTTAAGTCGAGATCAATTTAGAAAAGATGCAAAATGAAGGTATTACGTATTGTTTTCTGAGAAATGTATCAAAATGAAGTGAGTATGCTTAAAACAAGAACAAATATCAATGGAGTCAGAAAAATTAACTTTTCCCTTTGAAAAGGTAATTTTTCTGACCTCATTGGCAGTTATTTGTTCTTCTTTTAATCATAAATGTACTTCAATTTGATCAATTTTATTGTGGCCCCTTCCATTCATTCCTTGAATTTTCTTTGTTTGATCTTACAAAGTCTTAAATTTAACTTAACAAAGCTGCAGTACTTATTTATTTATTTATTTATTTAGCTGAGACGCTTTCCAATTATGCTTGCTTTCATATTTGTAATCAAATTATTTTGAGTGTAATTGTGCCGAAATCTCTGCTGAATAAAAGACTCTGTGCTTTTAAAAATGTTTGTTTGTTCCTAGTCAGTAAGAAAGGCCATTTTCAAAAGCCTTTGCTTCTGCTTTTTTTGCAGGAAGCTGCTGACAGAATGCTGTGACCCAAAGAGGATGTTTGCAGTTACTAAGGAGAACTCGCCAATAGGCAAAGTCTTGTGGTATGATGGGGAGATCTACCATTATCACACAGTCAACAATGAAACCTACCCGTTCTTTGTTCAGGTACTATCTTTCATAAAAGTCAATGGGCCAAAAAATATGATTTTGCTGCAACAGCTTTATACTAGGATATAGATCTAGTAGTGGAGACTGGTGATTCTTGTGAAATGTAATTATTTATCTGAATCCAAGTCTGGCATCAGCTTTACATTTTGAAACAACATAAGACTCAAAATAGTAAAACTAATATTAAAGGGGTCATATGATGTTGCTAAAAAGAACATTATTTTGTGTATTTGGTGTAATGAAATGTGTTTATGCGGTTTAAGGTTCAAAAAAGATTATTTTCCACATACTGTACATTATTGTTTCTCCTCTATCCCCCGCCTTTCTGAAACGTGTCGATTTTTTACAAAGCTCATTGGTCTGAAATACCTCAAGCGTGTGACGGAAATGTTACGCGCCTACCATATTGTGATGCCGTGTCCCGGCCGGAGCGACGAGACTATCCCACACACACTCACAAACACACCAGCCTCACTCTAATGTAGTTACACTGTGATTTAGGACGTTTATTCAATAAGATCTATGGGCTATGTGGGCCATGTTACTATGGATGCAATGTCTTTTTTTTTTAAATAAAAGGGATCAATTAATAATTTTATTGAATATTTAATGGGACATTTGTGCCCAGAGAAGCCATTAAAAAGATTTACATTTACACACGTAGTCTTAAAGGACGTTCACTGTCAATCTCAGTATTATGTTTCAGCATACGTCAGACTTACTGTAATTGAATTTAACCATCCGCATGTAATGTTTACCATTAAATTATGTATCACTGACACAGATAAGAGAGCGCTGATATGATCCTACTGGAGCTTCATTCTTCTGAGGGATTTTTGCATGACGTTTCACCGACTTGTATCCAAAAAATTAGTTATTTAAAGTGCATTTACCTGTAATCAAAGGTGTACATCATTGCATTAACTAAAAACATCTTCCAGCAATGTTTGAGAATCACAAACCCTGAAACAAAAGATTAGGACATTTACAGGATGAAATATACAGTAGTTTCAGTAGATTAATTTAAAGAGTGCTGATATATAGTATAAATGCACTGGGATGTTCTAGACCAGGGGTGTCAAACTCAATTCCTGGAGGGCTGGAGCCCTGCAGAGTTTTGTTTGCAACCCTGCTCCAACATACATACCATGTAGTTTTCAAATAAGCCTGAAGGACTTGATTAGTTGGATCAGTTGTGTTTAATTAGGGTTGAATCTAAACTCTGCAGGCATTTTTTCCCCTGTGAATTATGCTTTAGCCTTCTATTTTGTTAGTGGAGAACAGAAAATAAATCGATTGACCTGATGTTAACTTTTATGGTGGTTTCACAATGCTGGTTCTTAATGTAGGAATGCCAGAATGACTGAAGAAAAGTTTAAGCATGATGATGTGCATTTCTCATCCATTTCATAACTCTTTGCAATGACAGCCCAAAGAAGCCAAAGTGCATTTGCTAGCACTTTGTTGCATTATTCATTCATAATTCATTGCCATATTAAATCAAAACTAATTTTCTTATAGAGAAAGTAACTGTAACTAAAAATAGTTGCGTGAAATAGATACCAATTTGAGATTACCTGGGAAAGAATGAATTTGTAGCTTCAGAGAAACCACATGGAAGAGAGGAAAGAGCATAGGTTACAGTCTGCTTTTAACATATTCCTTGTGACTAAATGGCCTTTTTGGGAAGGAACTGCCTTAGTGATTACTCTTTATCCCTACAAACTCCTTGAATATATAACGGTTTGTATAAAAGGAACCAAACTGTTGAATAACTGTATGTTTGTGGAGAACATTGTCTAAGCTATTCTACTTTCAATGTGTCATCTCTCTTAAACCTATTTCTGTCAGGACCACTATCGTCAAAATGATAGATACTTAGCATAAAGTTTGGTTTGGCGGTATGGTTCTGTTCTGGGCAAAAACCTCCCTGCCCATCCATGCAGCCTGTCATGAATGAGCAGGGAGAGCAGCAATAATAACCCCCCTAGGGTTAACAGAACAGAACAAGGCAGATATCATTAATGTACTTAATGATATTTAAGTGTAACACTTTATTCAAGATAAAGGAGTCTGATTAGCAAGGAATATCAAAAAGCCAAGCCCTGACTGTGGCGAAAGGAGGAGCTGGGGATGGAGGAGGGTCATTTGCTCCGGAGCAAGCTGAAAAGCTGATGAATAATACTGCATTGAGCTTATATAGGAATGCTGCGATAGGTGTCGTATTCCTATAAGTAGATGTGATCAGCTGAGAATCAGCTGATGCAAGCTTGACTCACGTGACCTGCCAGAACTAACGCTAACGCTTAATTGCTGACCACCGACCCACTGCCTCAAAATTCACCTCTCTGGCATGTGTGTTTGTGCTCTGTCAAAATGCCATATGCTTAGTAGTAATGTGTCATGTATGATGTGTGTGTGTCTGATCAAAATGTTTAAATTGTTTGTTTTAGTAACTAGTATGACATATTCAGTAAATGTTACCTACACTCTGAAGTAGAATCCATAGTATAGCTGCACATCTTTGACTACATATTTCTGTATTAACACATCAAGTCAGTTGATTTACTGATATAAATCAGTAGACCCAAGCCATATGTAGGGATCAGAATTTGATACAGACTATGGGGTAAGCCCTTCTGTCCTGGACCAGTAAAAAAAAGCCTCCTAGTCATACACCCAGAAAACCTTTGCAACCACTTAGCAATACACTAATAACCACTCAGTGCAGCTTAGCAACAGTGTATCAACTCCCTGCTAACTACCAACAACACTCTGGAAGCACAACAAATTAAAAAAAAATAAAAAAAAAGCATAGTAATCTGCTTTTAATTTATAGGCTTTTTCTTTATTTGAATCTATAACTCCTGTCGAAGGAAAATGTCTGATGATGAGGGTTTAGTTATGTATGTGTGAGGTGAGATGAAATTGGTGGCCTGTAATGCAAATTAATTGCCAGGGGGTCTTACAAAGGGTCTTTTTATCAACTGTTCACCACTCTTTGAAGTGTATGAATATTGAAGTAACCTTGATTTGAATATGTATTCATCAAAAGAAACAAATGGAAATGGACTGTGTGTGTGTGTGTGTGTGACTCTTTATTGCTTCGACCCATTTGTGTAACTCCCACTGTTTTTGTGTTGCTAGGATACACCATTGCAGCTTCCTCTGAAGAAGTGTTCAGTTGTGGGCAATGGAGGGGTCCTGAAACACAGTGGCTGTGGAAAAGAAATTGACCAAGCTGACTTTATCATGAGGTGAGAAGATGGTAATATTTGTTTGACTGTCGTATCATATCAAAAATCATACAGAATTAGTTTTACATTTATATTTATTCATTTAGAAAATGCTTCGATCCAACATTATTTGCAGCACATAATGTCAAGTTTGAATATAAACATTAGTACACAAGCTAAAGCAGAGGTTTAATGCAGAAAGAGTTTGTTTATGGATGTGGTTTAGAAAAGTGCTTGAGGAAAAGGTATGTCTTCAACTTTTTTGAAAGTATCTGAAGAAGTGTTCAGTTGTGGGCAATGGAGGGGTCCTGAAACACAGTGGCTGTGGAAAAGAAATTGACCAAGCTGACTTTATCATGAGGTGAGAAGATGGTAATATTTGTTTGACTGTCGTATCATATCAAAAATCATACAGAATTAGTTTTACATTTATATTTATTCATTTAGAAAATGCTTCGATCCAACATTATTTGCAGCACATAATGTCAAGTTTGAATATAAACATTAGTACACAAGCTAAAGCAGAGGTTTAATGCAGAAAGAGTTTGTTTATGGACGTGGTTTAGAAAAGTGCTTGAGGAAAAGGTGTCTTCAACTTTTTTGAAAGTAGTAATGGTCTCAGCTAATTGGATGAAGGCAGGCAGTTCGTCCCATCACAGTTGAGTGTAGGTGCCTCATTGTGAAGGAATGTTTTGTGCCCCTCATTCACTGACTGTAAATTGCAGAAGGGAAGATTGAGGTAGGAGGCTCCATTTCCAGTTGTAGTCCTCAAAGCTAGCATCAAATCCTTGAATTTTGAAGTAGGCAGCTACAGCAAGACAGTGAAGTTAAACCTAGATAAGTATGGTGTGGAACCTCTTTGATTGACTGAAGAGCAAATGTCCTGCCAAGTTATGTATTATCTGCAGAGGCTTATATGTGCTGACTAGAAGGCTGGCCAATAGAGCAAGTGTTTAGACAAGGAGCTGTGCAGTGTACCCAGAAAAAAATAGTCTGGTTTTCCTGATATTAGAAAGCATTAACCTGCATGACCAGGCTTTTGTTTAGATGTTGGTACTGGTCATCAAACACTACCACCAGGTTCCTTGTCCTGGTTGGTGTTAGTGTTGATGAATCCAATGGAACAATGATGTGGTGGTTGACTAACTGGTTGGCTGTGATTTACGAGCTCTGCGGTCGCAAGTTTGAACTGGAGGTGATTTTCCTCTATCCAAGTTGAAATGACTGAAGGGCACGCATAGATACAAGCTGAGACAGTGGGGTCATCAGATTGGAACAACTGGTAGTGCTGCATTTTAGTTCCACAGTTATAGGAAAAGCCATGTGCCTTTTTGATCAAGCATAGTGAGGTTGTGTACGTATATCAAGAAAAGGAGAGGATCAAGCACTGAACCTTTAGGCACCCCAGTGATTAACTCAGACACCCCTCCTCTCCAGAAAACCGTAAAGGATCTGCCCGTGAGATAAGGCTGAAAACGGTGAAGTGCCATACCTTTGATGCCCAGGTCAGGATAGATGGAGTCAGTGAAAGATGGGAGAGAATCTGGTCTAAGGGATGGGAGAAGAGGGAAAGAACAGAGTAGAGGACTGCATACAGGTGGTGCTTGGTTGTGGGTATGTGGTGTAGAAAAGAGGTCACTGAATGTTGTTGGAAGATGTATTGGTACTAAGTGACCTTGGCAGCAGAAACACAGAGGAGGAAGAGGATAGGAGAGATTGATACTTGCTCAGGTCAGCTGAGTCTTTTGACTTGGCCATATTCTTCTCAGTAGCTCAGAGCTTGATCCGATGGTCACAGAGAGATCAGTGAACCAGGGGTTAGAGGATGTCATAAGTGCTAACCCAGGGGTGCCCAATCCTTCTCCTGGAGGGCCACTTTTCTTGCAGATCTCCAACCTGCTTAGAAGTTTTTAGTGATCCTGAAGACCTTGATTACCTGGTTGCTGGCCTGTGCTAACCTGTGATAGAGCAGACATTCTCAAGGCAAGATGTTAATATGGAGCTGAAAGTATTAGTAGCATCACAATAAGACGTGGGACTTTTATTAAAGTTTTCATTTTATTAAGAAATAACAACATTAAAGGGTTAGTTCACCCAAAAAATGAAAATTCTGTCATTAATTACTCACCCTCATGTCGTTTCAAACCCGTAAGACCTTCGTTCATCTTCGGAACACAAATTAAGATATTTTTGATGGAATCTGAGAGCTGTCTGACCCTGCATAGACAGCAATACAACTGAAATGTTCCCAAGTCCAGAAACGTAGCAAGGAGATCTGTAAAATAATCAATGTGACATCAGGGGTTCAACAGTAATTTTACTGTTGCGTCCGTGTGACGCAGCTGACACAGAACAGCATACGCTGTTTACGTCCAGTGGATACTATCCAAAATGGCTCTACAGGGTGATGCGGAGGAGACTAATTGTTGAACAAAGTAATTTTTTTTTCTTTTGCGCACAAAAAGTATTCTCGTAGCTTCGTATAATTGCGGATGAACCACTGATGTCACATGGATTATTTTACAGATCTCCTTGCTACGTCTCTGGACTTGGGAACATTTCAGTTGTATTGCTGTCTATGCAGGGTCAGACAGCTCTCAGATTCCATCAAAAATATCTTAATTTGTGTTCCGAAGTTGAACGAAGGTCTTACAGGTTTGAAACGACATGAGGGTGAGTAATTAATGACAGAATTTTCTTTTTTGGGTGAACTATCCCTTTAACAACATATAAAAGCTTTCTTGTGACATAGACTGAGAAACATCACTTCCAACAAAACTTTTTCTGCATTCTCTATCCCTCTCCTCTACCTCTAGATGTAACCTTCCTCCTCTGTCCAAAGAGTACACCACTGATGTTGGTACCAGAACACACCTGGTGAGCGCGAATCCTAGCATTATTGAAAAGAAGTACGTGTCTTCTCCTTCTCTCTTAATTATGTTTTTGTCTTTTCTTAATTTGGGGGTTTATGGATTCATCATTTATTTAATTACAATACTAATATTTCAGTAGTGCATATCGATAACAATGGAAACAATGATTTAGATTTCAAAGCGGCACCTCTCTACTCGACCTGGAGATTACCGTAGGTTTCATAATAGATGCGCATCATTATTTTTGTGACAGCAGGCTTTGCTTTGGTGACAGCACTACTGAATATAATCAAAATTGAAATTGTTCAATTGTAATTGTTAGCTTTTTTATCACAATTATTTTAGTACTGACTTTGCACTGATACTTTTGACATCCCTAACACCTGTTTGAAAGTTTGTTAACATGGGGATTCGCATGTAAATGTTAAACAACAAACACAACCAAGAAAACAGCTCAAATCATGTCGTTTCAGTAATACTTCGATATAGAATGTGCCGTTTATAATGTTTTTTTTAAATAATACACCATACTTTCACCCAAACTGAATAATTAAAAACAAGTTTAAATGTTTAAATCTTCTAAACATATTTTTGATTTTTCATTTCCTGACATACTTAAATTCTTGCTAACACACACTAGACATGCTTATCCTGTGCATTTGTAACACATCATATTTATTTTGCCAGTTGAAAGTGTGCTGTTACTTTAACTGAGTGTGAGCAGCGCAGCAAAAATAGACTTGTGGTGAAACCATCGCTTCCGTGCAGCTCATGCGACGCTCACGCATTGCCCTTGCTCCAGTGGAGAATGCACTCATTTATTATCATGCACGCCGAAAAAAATATGCGCTGCTCATGCTTGCCGTGTGAAACCGGTCTATCTTTTTAGTCAGGAGACAAATGTCTGATAAATTACATTGTTGTTTTGACTCTGTATTTTTTATTTATATATATGTTCTTTTGCAAAACTGTGGTACTTCAATAAAGTAATGCTTTCTCTCATTCTACTGTACCATGTTTTTCTGTTACAACTTTTCTATGTCTTGTTCATCTTAGCTTACAATTACATTGCACTGTTGTCTGATAGTGTTCATAAAGCTCTTCTATATGTGAAACAGCCTTAGCTATTTGTGGTTTCTGGGGTAGTTAGTTACAAGCGGCAACGGCAGGAAAACAGAGACAGAATGGTTAGAAAAGGACACACAGTTCTCCAAACAGCTGGCTACTTCTTGAAGGATGAATATTGACCTTTCTTCGTGGATTAGCATGTTTACTCCTTGCATTAGCTGGCAGGAGATCTCCAAAGTGCTTTGTCAGTGCCAGGGTCAGTACCAGGTCTTTTTATACATTATTATATTATTGATATTATTAAAAACAGCATATTAATATGCTTGTGTTGTAATATGAGTGTTCCTAAAGGCATATGCATTCAGAAACAAGCTTAAGCTCAGACACTTTATTTATTATAACTTGACTATTCACACAGTGCCAAGGAAATAACAAGATGTTTAACAAGATACAGTATAAATAAAGAGCTAAAGTTAACCAGTAATACAGTTAGTTAGATTTCAGTTAGGGGTCAGTTCAATCATTTATTCATCCATTGTGGCCACAGTATCTTTAAATGAAACAATTTGGTTACAGAAAAATAGTTTTTTTATGTGTATTTTGACAAATTTTTTACTTAAAGAACACATCACTCCAAATTGACATTAAATGGAAAAATTGTTTATCATTCCTTTTTTTCCCTATCAGCTTTCAGAACCTACTATGGTCCCGCAAATCCTTCGTAGAAAGTATGAAGGCATTTGGTTCCAGCTACATCTACATACCAGCGTTCTCCATGAAGCCTGGCACTGACCCTTCCCTGCGGGCATACCACACCCTTGCAGACTCCGCCTCCAACCAGACTGTCCTGTTTGCCAACCCGGACTTCCTTAAAAACGTTGGTCGATTCTGGAAGAACCATGGCGTCCATGGCAAACGGCTGTCCACAGGGCTGTTCCTGGTGAGCCTTGCCCTTGGCTTGTGTGAAGAGGTAACCACTTACGGTTTCTGGCCGTTTTCGGTGGGGCTGGATGAGCGACCGGTTAGCCACCACTATTATGACAACATTCTCCCATCCTCAAGATTTCACACCATGCCTGAGGAGTTCCTGCAACTCTGGCACTTGCACAAGAGCGGCACGCTGCGTATGCGGGTTGGTGATTGTGCAAAAGAAGGACAGAGGAAGAGGGAAAAATAAGTGGAAGTGTTGCCAGGGGCAACTCCGTATATCCCCACAGGAACAGGATGGCCAGGATGGCGATTAGCATGTGAATACTGTGAGCTGTGAAGTGGTGCCCCACCCCCAAAGCTGGGCCTCTTTTTGGTGTCTATATGCTTGAACCTAACCTGCTACCAACAAACCCCACCCTCTTGTTACCAAGGGACTGTTGTAAAGACTTGCATGTGTACCCATCCTCATGTATGCACTCACTGGAAGCTTGTTGTGTCCGTCTGTAGAAGTGCCGGGGTGATGAGGGGCTCAGGTGTCATGTGACCTATTTAAACTGCATCCACCAGCAGTTGGACCCTTGAATCTAAGGACTATTTGTTCACTTAATATAAAGACAGATTGGGGGAGGGGCTGCTTCAAACAATGTCTTAAGAACTTTAAATGGGAACTCAGAAATTGGGAGCAATGCTTTGATCGTTTGGCTTTTTCTTTTTTTTTTTTTAACTGATTCTTTTAGAGTTTTGAGGAAATGGAATAAGGAATAATGTGGAAATCTTTCTCGCAGTGTTCACATATACACAAATCAGTGTAAAACTACAGGTTTAGCCTGGAAAAGGGAAGGCATTGAATGTACAGCCACATTTTAAACACCCGTTTCAAAAATTTGAGACTGCTTTAAAATGACGGCTGCAGTTCTTGTATTATTGTGAATATATTTCTAGTTTTATTTATTTTTAACATTCAGTGAAGTAGGACATTTACTGAGAACCACCTTGTCAGTCTAGATCAGTCATGAAACTAATTTCTTACATGACCATAGTGTTTTGTCAAGTTTGGATTGGGAAGTCATGGGTTGAGAGACCACATCCAGTTGGAAGACTTCCACAAAACAGAAAAAGTGCGATTGAGTTTATGGTGACACCTGTGGCGGCATCTTTAAGTATTATTTGTGTATGTGTTTGAATTCAGTCATTTGATGTTATGCAGTGGTGTAATAAGCCCTCGTCACATGGTCGAAGGGGCACCAATCATACGATAAATGTTTTTTTGCTTGCTAAGGTGCTGGACACCTAGTCCGGAACATGTAAATAATCAATCACCAGTTTCGTTACGGTTTCCACAAGAATCATGGGTTCTCTGAATGTAATGGCAGCCATTTTGGTAGTCTGCCCAGTAACTTGATTCCTTGACTTGTTTTTTTTGTTTTTTTCGTTAAACAGGGAATTAGGTTTAAATTTGTAGGTGCTAGCTGTAACACATGCACTCCAGCTTAGTCTTGATATATCATCAGTGTAATAGGTATGACTGGTAGGAGAATGCACTATTATGTTGATATAAAGCCTGAAACCTCAGTATTTATAGGGTTAGTTCACCCAAAAATGACAATTGTCATCAACTACTTACCCCATGTCATCCCAAATAAGAATTTCTTTCATCTTCTAAACACAAATTAAAATATTTTTAATGAAACCGGAGAGTTTTGAGCTCCATTGAAAGCCTACATTTTCATGCTTCAAAAAACAAAAAGATATAAGAAATTGTAAAAGCAATCAAGCGGTTTAATCCAAGCCTCATGAAGAGGCATAAAGATTGAAGTTTTACATAAAGATTGATCAACACACACGTGTGCATGTGAGCATCTTGAATATGGTAAATGGAAGCCCAACTGTTCTTTTCTTGATGCCCAAGAACAAACCTCATTGGTTTTCATTTGCACTTTCTGAAACGTCAAAGTTTTGGTGTAATGGACTTTCAATGGAGGGACAGAAATCTCTCAGATTTGTCTTGTGGGTTTGGAATGACATGAGGGTGAGTAAATGATGACAGAATTTTCATTTTTAGATGAACTATCCCTTTAATGGGAGAACAGAGTTGCCTTTAAATGTGTCTGCCATTTAAAGCAGGTGTGTTAGCATTCAGGTAGCTAGCTATAAGACAGCTTGACTAACTTGCTTTGCGAGATTCTCTTAAAACTGTTGTTCCACTATCTAATTCTACATTCAGTTTACACTTTAATTTCCACTACATGAAAGAAAAAACTGAATGTAGCATAATATTACCCGTGGCAACACTGAGAATGTGTACTTGAAACTGAGTTCTGACAGATTTTCAGCTAGAAGTTGTTGTGTATACATACATGCTGTTTGTGCATTAATATCGACAACTCTACAGTGAGCATAACCGGGTCACATTTCACCCCAATCAAAAGAAAAATGGCAATTAAGCACATTTCCCCTCCATGTTCTCATTATCGTAATGTGTTTTTGAAAAAACTAAAGCTCAAATCAAATAAATAAATAAAGATTGGCATAAAAGAAAGACAGTACAACAAATAATGGTGCATAAATACTTATGCTTAATTCCAGGAGTGTTAATGGTCATGAAAAAATGTTTTTAATTTTGGGGTGAACTATGACCCGGACTTGTTCTTAGCAGGTTTTTTGAGACTCGCTCTGATAGCAAAGGAAATGTGTGCACTCATCTGAGTATCTCCAGAAATTACCATTACCATAGTTTCACACTTTAAGCCAATGAGTGCCTTTATCAATATTAAAAAGGCTATGGACATCATTTTATCAAGGACAAGTTTTTAACCAAATCTAAGGATTATTTAATCCCTCCCCCCCCCGCTCCCTCCCCAAACTCAGACTTAAATAACCTCACATAATTGTTTTTAAGTATTTTCAACCAAGGCTGATGTGTAGAAATGTTGAAAGACCTATTAATTTAATAATTTATTATGATTTGTGATAAGTTAATGGATGTGAGTTTCAAAATATGTTAGCATTCGGTTGTAGAAGGACCAATGTACATTACTATAATTTTTTAAACATCACTTAATTGCCAGAAGACCACAACTTTAGCTTACATGAAGCTGGGGAAAGTGTTAATTGCTGGAGCTGATGATTTATTTTTTTATTTTTTGCACCTTTTTGTGCTGTTCAGTATTGTGAATGAGTGAGGTAGTAGTTTGTAAGTAGGCATGCACGACTGTGATATGTAATTGGTTTTTGAAACTGATTTTGAGTGAGAAACTCACAAACAATTATGTATTTTACGTTCTGCCCTTTGAGCCATATGAGGGTGTGTGCCCTGTTGAAACTGAGCTTACCTCAACTGTACTATTCACTGTTAAATTCATTGAAGCTCACTGGAGCTTGGATCTTAGATATTTAAGTACGTTTTACTCCACTAAGCTGTAAATGTGTCCTATCTTCTTGGCTCGAGCAGTCAAAGGGCTGGACGTTGTTTACGTGCCACATGGGTTATGCCAGTATTGAAAATATGATGAGAAAAAAGCAAACACACTGCTTTCAAACAATAAAGACGTCCTGTCAACTCATTCGCTGCAGTATGTGAAGTCGATGAATAACAGTCTGTCTAAATGACCTCAGAGGAAGCACTCCATTTTAAATCAGACAAAAAAAATCTATTTCCTGTCCAATACATTTTTGATGTCAGCTGTCTCCATGCAGATGGCCAAATGCAGAAGACTCATTGTATTGATCAAAGGCGTTACTTGTTGGACAGGCTACTGAGAGACACAATGAAGAGGGCTAGAAATAAATATTAATAATGAATATCCCATATCCATACATTTGTATGCCGTTTTGGTGCCAAAATATCACCTCATGTATATTCTGGTAATTAGCTTGTATTTAGGGAAGCTACAGTTTTCTCAACACTGCTCAATCTAGAACATTTTCCTTTAATATTTATGCATACAGTGGGTAGGTATAGAAAAGAATCACTCCCCTTTAATATGATCATTAACATTTTGTTGCTTCCCAGACAGCAACATAGTGTTGGCCCAGATCCGACCCACATCTGGCCCGCATGGATTTCACGCTTTCATGGATCTGGGATGACACTGGTTGCTGTCTGCAGCCTGAAATGAAGACGGACACAGTTTCTGTTTTATCCAGCTGTATTTACACAGTGCAACTTATAAAATCCAAATGAAAGATATAACAGCAACATGTCAGAAAAAAATTAATAAAAACCAAAATCACTGAGAAAAGGATCACCCCCTCCTAAAAATGACTTGTAAACTCAATCAGTTGTAGCTAATCACCTTCTCAATGGCACACAAAGCCATTTGACTTTCAACTGTGATCATCTGTGGTCATTTTGATCATCTCAGAATAAAAAGAGCTTTCCTGGAGCATTTCAGGCCTTGGTAGTGCAACTGAAGCAAACGATCAACTATGGGTGGCGAGGCACTGTAAAAAGATCTCCGGGATAAAGTTATGGACAGGCACAAGTCAGGAGATTTAAGAAGTGGAAGGTATTTGGTTCAACACAGACTCTCCCTGGATCAGGACGTCACTCCAAACTGGATGAAAGAGCCAGGAGGAAACTGATCAGAGAGGCTACCAAGAGGCCTACAGCAACTTGCTCAAAAAGCAGTTGCAGGAATTTATGATGAAGAGTGGTCATTGTGTGCATGTGACAGCAATATCACAAATTCTCCACAAATGTGGCTTTTTTGGGGGG